GTGTTTGTGTGTGTGTGTGTGTGTGTGTGTGTGTCCGACCGGAAAATCATAAATCCTGGCAGCTGAACCTATAGCGTTCAAATTCGAAAGGAGTACAGGTGGCATGTTGTAAACGTTTACGATGGATGGCAGGTTCGCCCATAGGGGCGGGGTTTGCACGAAATAATTGTTTGAGCGGAAACTCATATTCCTGTTCTTGTGAACTCGAAAAATTCAAAATTGGTAGGAGTATAGAAGGCAGGCTTGGAATACTAACGATAGAAGAGGCCTTGGAGAACAAGAACCACTTACCAAGTGGATCCTAACTCCTTTGTTATTTACGATCTAGCTTTGACTCTTTGACATGTTTCTCGACAAGAAGGGTAGGTGCGGTGATGGGGATTGACAAAGGGTACTAAATTATAAAGAGATGAAGGATGGTCCATCTCTCTGTATTAGATTACGACAGCTACCCAGCGAAATTTGTACCTCAATGAAAGATCATGCTATTGCTACTGCTATTTGCTTCGATATCATTCTCGGCAAGCTTACCAACCGCTACTAACCTTGAAATGTCATCTAATAATGTAATCGAAAAGAATTGACGCTTCATTGATGAAGGCATTTGAAAACGGTTTTATTATGACTCGACAACATTTGTAAGTACCACTCAAATCTTTGGTCACCTACCAGTTGAGCCTTCAATGGGTCATCATTTTTGAAGTGAACAGCGACAGATTGAGACTTCTAATCAAAGGCATAGCCATCGACATATTTTGAATACCGTTTGCTTCCCTATTGCTCCTCTATCGAATTTCGTGTTTCGCAATGTTTCATTTATTCCAAAAAAGGAGCGAGCTATTTGTCGAGTATGTCGTGTACCACAACTCTACTACCGAAATTCTTACAATGTGCGCATATTTATCCCGCTACTGCTCTTTATCATTCGAATCAGGTTCCTTCCTTCACGATCTGATAGTTTAGGGATACACTGGGGACTGCTAAGCTCAAATCTATTTCGCTATTATACCTCTAATTTCGAGTAAAGTGTACCTATGAGATATTCGAAGTTATTTTGCTGAATGAACTCTTGGAATGAGTCCCTGCTGAATCAGATAACTACCGTACCACAACTATTATCTCAGATATCCAGAAAACATTAAAAAAACTTTCCATTTCCTTGATAGCAAAAAATGTAAAAATTTTACTTTTTACTACATTTTTTTTTTTTGCTCTGAAGAAGAACATGATATAGTTGGAAGAACGTGCGTTAGTTATCGAGTAATTTCGGGTGCGTTTCACGACCTTTTTTCCATCGTCTATTCACTATTTCCTCTCGAAATTTGGATGTTACTTTGTTCTCTTCCCGAAACTGCTCCTACATTTGTGCCGCCGAAAGTTCCGTTGTTAGTGAACAAGATTATCCATGCTGCACATGAGAAATGTCAAGCTACGCCTCCCAAGCTCATTACTCTTTTCTCTTCGAAAAAAAGTCGCTTCTGTGATATGCTATGACAACATGATCTGTTCAAGCTCTACTTCAGCTTTATACTCTCGCTCAGCAAAATAACAAAAACCTGAAAGAATTTCATTAATTCTATGTTTCTCGGGCTGAGCACCTTTGCCTCAAGAGGGAGGAGAGCCCGGGTCAGCCGGGCGATCTGGTATAGTAAAAAATAATTTGATATAATATAATATAATATGATGTAATATAATATATTATAATATATTATTTTATAATATAATATAATATAATATAATATAATATAATATAATATAATATAATATAATATAATATAATATCCTTACTATATATAAACCACGAGTTTGGTGTGTCTGTTTATCTGTTTGTCTGTCTGTCTGTTTGTCTGTTTGTTTGTTTGTCCGTCACGAAATTCGGTATCATCTTAAGAAGCGCATGGAGAGATACGAATACGTTCTAGGATGCGGGAAAAAAGTGGTTAGAGGTAGTGGAACAAATGTCACCAAGTCCTCGAGGTGGGCGGGGTTGGCACTAAAGTGAGCGGGGTTTAGATCAAAAATTCATAACTCTAATCAAAAACGTTCTGGGATGTGGCAAAAGTGTATTAAGGTCTAAAAGGACAAATGTGGTCAAATCCCAGAGGTGGGCGGGGCTGGCACTAAAGTGGGCGGGGCTTATATCAAAAATTATAACTCTGCTCAGAAACGTTGTAGTGCGCGGCAAAAAGGTGTTAAAGTGTAAAAGAACAAATGTGGTCAAATCCCAGAAGTGGGCGGGATTGGCACCAAAGTGGGCGGAGCTTAGACAAAAATTTATAACTCTATTTAGAAACATTGCGGGATGCGGGAAAAAGGGGTACGATGTAGTGGAACAATATGTTCAGATTCCACAAGTGGGCGGGATTGGCAGTGAAGTGGGCTTACACCAAAATTATTGTGATTCTTCAGATGGTTTTAGAACGCGGGAAAAAGGTGTCTGGAGGTAATATGTGGCTCAAAGTCTGAAGTGGGTAGGGTTTGCAAAGAGGGGGGAGGGGCTGGGATCAAAAGTTGATACATCTGTCCTTCAGATCAACCCTGACTACATAAGGGTACAACTAGGGGATACCACTAAACTCTTTCGAAAATTAGGCTAAAAATTTTCTAAAGGTTAGTATCCATGGTTCCACGCACAGTAGTGCCTTCTACACTAGAGAAAAAGTGTGTAAATGTAAATGTAAAGAAGTGTATATCCCCACAAATACTTATAAAGACTTTTTTCCGAAATTAGTGTTCATGGCCACACACATCCCAAACTACACAGGGTTAATTCGACTACATGGACTGCATAGGTATTTAATTTGGATACATCAGAGTACTCTTCATGGCCACATACATACAACCCGATTTCACACCAAAAAAAAAGATGGCCGCTACAGAGGTGTCAGGGAAGAGGCTCAGACGATAAAGGTCTATAGTAAAAATCAGAAGCTTCAGTGGCTCCGGCCCTCATGGCTAGAGGCCCTAGCGCACGCAGTAGCGTGCGTGGCTGCCTGGTAATATAATATAATATAATATAATATAATATAATGTCAGTAAGCAGGTCAGTGATCTGCACTAGGAAGAGGAGGGCGTTGGGCGGGAAACAGACAACATAAAAGGGGGGCAAGAGATGGAATTGTGTTCTGAGTTGTTTTGAGTGACCGTCCCCCCGCCCACGTCCCTCCTCTGCCGTTCCCCCTCTTCTTCGCAGTGATTCATTTATTTTGTTTGTTTGCAGTGTTGCACATTGTTTTTGTTTTTATCGAATTTCGTTTGTTTGTTATTGATTCGTTTCTTTGCAATAAACGAATTAATACAGTTCGGTGTATTTCTTTCCACACGTTTCTCGTATCGATACCTCACTGCCGAACCCGACGTTCGGTACATCGGGACCGAACCGCCAGAGGAAGATATCGATCGTGAGACATACACCGGACTGGTGAGGCCGAAGAGTGAGAGAGGCCGCAGATCAGAATACAGAATACAGAAGTCAAGGATAGGTTCGCCAATAAGGGAGGGGGCGATCCTAGGAAAGGTTGTGTGTATTGATTGAAGTGGAAAGAAAGAGTGACTGGCGAGAACGCGCAGTGAGTGTGAAGCTGAAGTGAGAGCTCGTATCAGCGCCACTGTTCGTCGTTTATCGTCGGCATAGTCAAAGAAATAGATAACAATACAGTGTGTTGAATATGGCAGAGATTCTAGCGGGCTCAGCAGGCAAGAGTCCTACACTGCAGTTGAAGACTCAGGCACTGCAGGTGAGCAACCAAGCTGAGGAGTTTTCAGTAGTTGAAGTTGGGGAAGAGCTAGAAAGGGTCTTAGTGAGGATAAGGCAGGTACCCATTAGAGTAAGGGAAGAATTGGAAGAGGCACGTATAGCGGGGAAATACAGAATCAAGTTTCTCCAAGTATTGGAAAGTGAAGCTAGTGGTATAGGCAAAATACTGGAAGACATGAAAGCCAGCGTAGTGGGATATAAGCAGTTTGGGCGAGAACCGTTCAGAACCCTACGCACTAAAGGTATTGACAAGATAGATGATCTTATAGAGTATTTTGATACAAAAGAACGAGAGGGCGAGTTGATTGCTGATATATGCGACATGTTTCAGACTAACGCTCGGGAGGTTCGAAATGTACTGGGAGAGGTACAACGCACCTTGCGTCAGCAATCAGACCGAAGCCCGCCAAAGGATGATGATCAAATGGACACGGACACTGACACAGGTGAATTGGAAAGACAATCCCGGAACAGGAGATTGGGGGGTATAGAGACACAATTTCAGATGAGAAGGAATTCGATGATATCAGCAAGCCAGACTGGAGCGCCTTACGGTCTACCCTGGAAGCAGCGTTCGGAGAAATTGGAAGGACAAGCAGTCAGCACACCAGGTCAGGAAGCTTCAAAGTTTATGGCTTTGATGCAGGCGAATGCGTGCATAGGTCCTGGGTTACTCAAAGGGACTAGGTCGGAAAATTTTGATGAGTTTNTACGAAGATTCGAAAGGAAATATAGGACGGTCATTATGAATAAACAAGTTCTAATCGATATCCTAGGTGATGACCATTTGGATGGTAGGACCAAGAGTGTCTTTTTGAGTTTGCCTAGTGAAGTGAAGCGGCAAGGGTTCGATGCCGTGGTAGAGGAGTTGAGGAAGTTATTGGCCAACGACTCTACAGCGGGACGACTTCGGGCTTTGACAGAGCTGAGGAACCTGAGGCGTAGAGCGGGTCAAAGCGTGTCGGAGTTCTGCGTGTTAGAGAAGTTGGGGCGCCAGGCTAACCCCTCCTGCAGATTAAGTGATAGGTCTATGGAGTATGCCCAGATCCTGCCAGACAATTTGAAGGGGTGGCCGGAGCATATTCACCTGCTGAGCACACTTTACAAGGTGGAACCCAGGGAGGCCTATAACGCAGTGAAGGAGTTGGTTCTAAGTATTGAACAATCCAAACTGATGTGGCCAAGTGGAGGGCGAAAGTATGATAAAGGGAGTTGGAAGAAAAGAGCCGTCACCTACCATGAAGGGCCTTCAAGGACAGATGGTGATAAGCTAGTCAATTCTGAGGCCAGATACGAGGTGGGACGGTCAAAGACAGTGGACACTTGGAAGCGGGACGCCCAACGTGCCTCAAGAGAAGCCCCAAATGTAAACGCGGGTAGGACCACTGAAAACAGACGAGAAGAGAAAGGAAGTAAGGAGCAAAGGAGGTGTTACAACTGCTCCAGATTTGGGCACATTGGCAAGGACTGTCCCCTGAGGGAAACCGTGGTGAAACAAATTACCAGCAAACCTCCGGAAAAGGGGCAAAGAAGAAGTACAGATGTGGTCAAAATGGTTGACAGTGCGCGAAGCCTGGGCGTGAAAGCGGTTGAGCCGTCAGAGTTGCTACTGGTAGGAAACACGGTGCCAGCGTGGGCTCATTTGATGGATATGCGGGTTCCAGCAATACTGGACACAGGGTCTATGATAAGTATTCTACCTATAATATAAAATAACCAGGCAGCCACGCACGCTACTGCGTGCGCTAGGGCCTCTAGCCATGAGGGCCGGAGCCACTGAAGCTTCTGATTTTTACTATAGACCTTTATCATCTGAGCCTCTTCCCTGACACCTCTGTAGCGACCATCATTTTTTTTGGTGTGATATTGGGTTGTATGTATGTGGCCATGAAGAGTACTCTGATATATCCAAATTAAATACCTATGCAATCCATGTAGTCGAAGAAACCCTGTGTAGTTTGGGATGTGTGTGGCCATGAACACTAATTTCGGAAAAAAGTCTTTATAAGTATTTGTGGGATATACACTTCTTTATATTTACATTTACACGCTTTTTCTCTAGTGTAGAAGGCACTACTGTGCGTGGAACCATGGATACTAACCTTTAGAAAATTTTTAGCCTAATTTTCGAAAGAGTTTAGTGGTATCCCCTAGTTGTACACTTATGTAGTCAGGGTTGATCTGAAGGACAGATGTATCAATTTTTGATCCCAGCCCCTCCCCCCTCTTTGCAAACCCTACCCACTTCAGACTTTGAGCCACATATTACCTCCAGACACCTTTTTCCCGCGTTCTAAAACCATCTGAAGAATCACAATAATTTTGGTGTAAGCCCACTTCACTGCCAATCCCGCCCACTTGTGGAATCTGAACATATTGTTCCACTACATCGTACCCCTTTTTCCCGCATCCCGCAATGTTTCTAAATAGAGTTATAAATTTTTGTCTAAGCTCCGCCCACTTTGGTGCCAATCCCGCCCACTTCTGGGATTTGACCACATTTGTTCTTTTACACTTTAACACCTTTTTGCCGCACACTACAACGTTTCTGAGCAGAGTTATAATTTTTGATGTAAGCCCCGCCCACTTTAGTGCCAACTTCGCCCACTTCAGTGCCCGCCCCTCCCACTTCTGGGATTTGACCACATTTGTCCTTTTAGACCTTAATACACTTTTGCCACATCCCAGAACGTTTTTGATTAGAGTTATGAATTTTTGATCTAAACCCCGCTCACTTTAGTGCCAACCCCGCCCACCTCGAGGATTTGGTGACATTTGTTCCACTACCTCTAACCACTTTTTTCCCGCAT